TTCGTTCTGCGATTTCCCGCCTATACGGGCACCGTTTTGCGATCGCATTTGCGATCACTAAAACGGCCTCGTAGAGCGAATTCATCGTTCTACAAGGCGCCCGTTGTGCGAGGCACCACTGTATTTAAAACCAGTCCAAATGTCTGGCAAGAGAACATTAAATATAAATGAAGGAATGCTGTGGTAAGACTGGCTCAGGTAGTGCCCTCATGCAGAGAACAGTCATTTCAAAAGTCTACCAGAAGAGTCACATTTGGAAAACACTAGTGGTCTGTGTATTCTGTACTGCCCACCCAAATTTACATAAAATAAGTTTGTGACATCACTTCTTGGCCTCAATCATGTTGTTCTGTCCACTCATTTTATGATACCAGTTTATAGACCGTTGTAACCTCTCTGCTATCAAGCAGATTTTTCTAAGGAGCATTTTACTCCGCATTCTACTGGTGTTTTTAATATTGTTCTTATTATGAGTTTATAATATGATAGTTGTTTAATGCTTTTTTAATATTATGATAATTTATTATTTGGCTTCTAACTATGTTTCTTTTAAATACTCTAAGTTGCTTTGTATCCTTCGGGAGAAAGGTGGCATATAAATATTTTAGATAAATAAATAACACTTAAGTTAAATAGAACAAAATGATCATGACTGTGAAACATTCTTCATAATTTTTTATTATGATGCCATATAGACTTAGTCCACTTTCATCAATGGCAAAAGACCTCACCCCTTACCCCTCTGAAAATTCAACATATGGGCATGCACACAAATACACAGTAATTTCGGTTCCTAGGGAAAACATTAGACACTATCCAAGCCAACAAATAGTGTTAAATATGCTACCGCATCCAAACAAGGGAAGGCACAAACAACCCATTAGGTCAGGATTTGTTCTGTTATTCAGAGATTTGTCTAGGTGCTCATCTTGAGCCTGGCCATAAATAAGCCACAGTGGAGTATTCATCTGGATACCTGATAATAACTATTCAAATTATTTCTGCCAGAAAATTTAATTCATGTAGAACATACCACTAATAGAACATTAAAAAGAAAAAGAGGAATGGTGGTTATAAAGGAATAAGAGCAAAGGATACGAAACCACTGGTTAGCTAAGCTTAAATGTTCTTGAAGCAGAGGCAGAGTAGTGCTAATTATTTATGCTGCAATCTAAGAACAAGAATAGACACAAGAAAGAAACTTACTGGTATTGAAAACTCTTCAGCCAAGAACTTCAATATTGATGCCTCTTTAGTCAATAAATTACTTCTTTCCTTCAGGTTGCCTTGAAGTTTTACATCAAACTCCTTTCTGACTACAGAAGCTATGGAGTCAATTACTACTAGTTTAACGTTCTTAGAAATAATTTCTTCTTCTAAAGATTCAATCCTGAAAAGAAATAAAGTACTGATTTAGTAATGCCACCGTTATTTCTATTTAGTGCAGATACCATATGCACCAAAAACCCAAACAGAACTACAGATGCATTCTGAGAGATGTCCTATTTGCCTAGAAATCCTCTTTGCCTTATTTTCTACAGTTCTTGGTCACATGTAAAAATCTACACTTGAACACTAATACTTCCATGGCAAATACATCATTTTCTATATGCAAAAAGCAACAAGAAGGAAGGGAGGGACACTCCTCTCTAAGTGTAGTGAGTATATTTGTAGAAGCAATAACTGAATATTCCTATGATATCTTGCTGAGCCCAGAAAATAAGCCATACCTTTTAAGCACACTATCACAGCTGAGTTCCCGATAGAGATGTATTCTATTGGGCATTAACACCAGGTTTTCTTCTGAGGCAAAATAATGAGGGAAACGGTGCTGTGCTATCTCAATAAGCCTGTTGAAAGACCAGAAGACATGTCATTGAGAATGAGTAGGAATCTGATTCCAAGGGAAAAAAATAATATAAAAGGTCAATTAAACTGCTATAGAATACATATGACTTGACTTTTTCCTGTTACTTCCTGCACAAGCCTATTGACTGAATATCACAACTACAGTCGCACTTCCCAGAAGGATTATCAGCCCAGAGCCCCTGGCAGTGAGCACCCACCCCTCACAAGATAGTATCTGTGGTTATCTAAATCCTGGTGGGGTCCCAGAGGTGAAATGCCCTAGCTAGATCTTTCTCATCTGCTCAAAAGCAAAGAGAATGCAATACGCAATTCTGAAGTCTCAAGGAGAAATTAGAAAATAGCAGATTGCATGAGGAAAACTACCCACTGAAGGTGCCAGGAACTAATGTGCATCTAAGGAACTATACTGATGACTGAGATCATAGACCCCAGAAGCCAGAATTTCTTTTCAGTTGTCAAGTGCCTGTTGGATCATTTAGCTGCAAAATTAATTGGTTACATGTCCATAGCAGTTGCCTCAGATGAGAGAGTTAGGTGTCTGAAGGGGAATTTTGCTAGGTTCATGCTTTTAGTCAACTCTTCCATAGCATCATGCTATAGCCCCTAACCGCAGCAGCAGTAAAAGCTGTTGCTCTCCTTATGGAAAACTCACTAACTAGATTATGGTTATATTTGGAATTTGTGAAGACTTAATACAGGGAGGGGGGAAAGAGCTGAGTTTTGGTAGACACTGTAGCAGAGGTTCATGGTTTTAGTCAACTCTTCCTATAGCGTCATGCTAACCTTTAGATATAGACATATGACATATGAAGTTAATCTTACCTTTCAGCACTGAATGCAGATTCTGTATCAATGTATACAACAGCTCCATCTAATCCTCCCATGCTAGTGGGCAATGTGGCCAGCAAACTCATCATGATACAAAACTGAGTTTTCCCACAACCCGGTGGGCCAGTAATCTAAAGAGAGAAGCACACTCATGAAGAGGTGTAATGTACTTTCTGCTCATAAAACAAAGTATTTGTTGCCTTTAACTTGGATCGCCAGACAATCATTCATTTGTGACATGATGGAACTTAAAATAATGCACAGTAAATTTCAAACTGATTTGAATAATGATTCTTTCCTTTGCAAGGCAAATTTTCAGAAAACAATGGCAATGGGTCACAATGGGGTGGGAGAACCTACAGTGCATCAAATGTTGCTGGCTCCAATACCCATCAGGGATTACAGGAGTTCCAGTCCTGCAACAGCTGGAAAATCAAAGATTATCACTGTTGAGATTACAAAACATACTGAGGCTATCTGTATTGTGAAAATAAAAAATTGTCTCTGTGTTGTCTAATTTTACCTTGAGATACCAGTTAATTAGAGAAGCAGCTGCAGATTTTGAATTATATACTAGAAAAAATTCAAGTATCTCATGGATCTGAGGATTGTTAGGAACAATTGTTAGGAACAATCCTGGCAAAAAATAAGCAGTATTTCAGTCTTGTTGATTTCAATCAGCAAGCAGAGCAGTCTCCTCTGATCAACAGGACTTTTAATATATCTACCTTTGGCTGACCAAACTGATTTTGAAATTGCTGATGGACAGAATCCAACAATCAGGGCAATGCTAACTCTTCAAAACAATCTAATTCCAAAACCTGTCAAGATTTCATCTTATTCCACTTTAAGTGAAATCTGGCATCCGCCCTTCTAACAGAGACGTCCCTATGATAGCAGTATTCATATTTTCCTGTTTGGAAACCTACACTTTTCTTTTTTCAGTTTGTTCAAGATATGTGATGATTGACCACAAAAAGTTACTTAGAATTTAGCTTCCCATTGAAATCTCAGTAGTGGTTTGGAAAAAAAGAATCAATGCCAGGACACTTTCCTGGCTCTTAGAGAACAAGCACAAGGACTGGCAAGAGAAGATGCCACTGAAATCTACTTTAAATGGCTCATATAATTGTGTTCCAATTTTCCAACCACCATCATTGTTGAAGACTGGAGCAAGAAAGACCAGCCACATTTTTCAGAGTGATTAAGTTAAAATACAGCCACAAAAGTAAAGAAAGAACACTCTACTCTGAGGTTAAAGTATAGTCCATACTTTAGCTGTAGACCAGCTTTTTGGCGATATATGACCAAAATTCAATATAAGTTCAATTGAGGCAATGTTCAATCAAGATAGAACAGTGTAGAAAAAGCTGGAAGTTTCAGGTTCATCACAAGCAATCAGTTCAACATTTTAAACTACAAGACAACTATTAACTGTTTAGAACAGCCATGTTTAACCTTTTTTGGCCACAGCCACAGATGCAATCTGAAAGAAATACAGACTGAACCAGGATTGTATAAGTCAGATAATGAACCTTACAAGTTAGTGTGTGAAGAACAGTGTCCAGTCTGTGGCACTTTTCCAGTGTACCGGGGGGGCCCATTTTGAACAGCTGGTTAAGACGATTATTTCAGATAAACTAAGTTTATTTCAAATATCACTAAGTCAGTGCTTCCCAAACTGTGTACCTTGGCACTTTGGGGTGCCAGGAAACCCACCCAGGGGCACCACATAATCCTCTTAGCTTTCCCCAGCCTTCTCTCCCACCCCCCAAAGTATCTTATTTGCAGCACTTACCATCACACACAGTTCTTGAAAGGGTGAGGTGCAAGCTGAGGAAGGGAGCCCTGGACTGGGTTTCCTGCCTCTTGTTCCCAAGGGAGCCTTCCCTCTCCCCTCCCCTCCAAAAAGGTGGCTCCTCCATTTTACCTGCAACCTGCTTCCCTGGAAGAAGTCAGGCCACCAGTGAGTTTCCATTAAGCCACCTGTATATAGCATAGCCTCTGTTCCCATCTAGTGGCCAGTCTTAGTAATACACATTGGAAAGATGTATTTATGTGGCTCTTTATTATTTTATTTTAATATTTTATTATTTTTCAGGCAGCGGATAAGTGAAACTGCAGGTCCTGATCCCATGGATACAGTAGTCAATGGATACTGTACTAGGGAGCTGCAGTCAATGGGCAGCTGCAAGTCAAAAAAGTTTGGGAACCAATGAGTTAAATACAAAAAGTAAAAGGGACATTTGTGTGGAACATCTTTTGGTGCATCACTATTACTGAACAGAACTACAGGATAATAAATTTAAAATTATTTGAATTCAATTTAAGGGTTTTATAAAGATGGTAAGTGCCTCAGGTTTGAAAATTTACAAATAAATGGCAACTCTCTTAAATATGTAAGAGAGAAACATTTCTTATGTTTTCTGTTCTATCAGTAAAAACAGATGTTGAACTTTTACCTCTGTTAGAGATCCGCAAGCAATTCCACCATACAAAATTCTATCCAGATCTTCCAGTGTTGTTGGTAAGAAGGCTGATGATGGATTGATGGTTCTTTTAATTTTCATTTCATAAACCTATAACAAGCAACATCAATTTTAAAAATGTGTTTTATTCAACCAGTAAGAAAAATGGCTTGTATTTCTTTTGTAAAAGTAGAATTACATAGGATTTGCTCACTAAAAATATTACATGTAGGCCCCTAATTTACTTTACCATACTTTTACAAAGTCTCCCCAATCTCCTGCCCATATCCCATGCCACAAAATAATATTAAAGACTATAGGGTCTCTCAACGTGATGAGACTACAAGGTTACAAAGTACTTTAAAACAATTGTTTGTCTTTTGGACAACATGCAACATCTGATCTGCAAATTATGACTTCAAAAGAAATTTTTATCGTGGTTATGTCTAGCTGGAAAACATACATAGTGAAACTCCAGACTACAAAAAAGCTGAGTAGTTCTCTTAGCTATTCCAAAAAGTCTGGGTTTATTTAACAGTTTCTTGAGGTTTCTATAAGGGATTATGAAGTGCAATACTCAATCTTCCCCACTGGGACGTGGGCCTGAAAGAATAAGGCAAAATATGTATGCATGGAATGTAAGTTGTTAAGGAAACACAATTTATGATACTGCATAACATTCTTTCTTGTTCATCTATTAAGGCACAACCTTAAGCTTTCAATTTGCTGGCTCTGTGGACCTTAATTCCAGTCTTAGAAAAACAATAGGTTTCTTTTGAACACTAAATTATAGAAATCATTAGCATCCACCCTGTTGATACAGGTACTGTAATAAGCTACACTGCATCAGCAGTACTAAACAGATGTAGAACAAAAGCAGTCTCAGTACAGTTTCCATAATTATGGAATATGACTATAGTTAAAGAATCTTACTATCTTTGCATCTGTACCAAAATCCATTGGCACTGTTAAGAATTGCTTTCAGCACAATTAGTGGGATGCAGGATTACAAAACAGGACTGAAACAAGCACTATTACTCTTTGAGTAACCTGCCTTCATTATGACAGCAATTTGTCAGTCTCTGATCCTAGTAAAGAGATTAATTGTAATTTCCTCTTTCCTCCTTTTCCACAAAAATAATTAGAGGAAACTTAAGACAGTAGTTCAGTCAGTTACCAATTTTCTGTTATTATTGTTTTCTTGTAAAACACTTCCTTTCTCCCTTTCTAATAATAGCGCATTAAGCAGACTGATGCAGTGATGTTTTTAAGCTTTTGATTTTTGTTTCTTGGGGTGCTGGGGGGCACAAAAAGAAACACTCATTTTATGTAGTGGAAGGAGGATATCCTCAAGAGCTGGGTTGTCCCTCCTACTCCCTTCCACAGGGTGGAATTGATCAGCCAATCAGGTGGTGCTAGGGCTCCCTTATGAAAGAGGGGCAAACTCTGGCTGAAACAGTCTTTGTTTCCAGCCACCAGAAAAAAGGGTATAAGATTAAAAACAGTAGAGAGAAAAAAAGATTTTTAGCTGCCTTTCCTGGTCATAATAACTCAAAGGAGGGCAAGGTTGTCCTCCTGCTACACAAAATCAATGATTCACAGTGACTACCAACATTCCACATTCCTTTTTCCTATAGCATAGGAGGGCATCCCCAATTTTCCAAAGCCTGATGTCATAGGATGGGACCGAGGAGAGATTTACCCAGCACCCACAGGTACAAATCCATCTGAGTAGGACTTAAAAGAGGTCCACCACCTGCTGAAGGAATCTTCTCTTAACTGCTGCCTCAGTGGAGGCGAAGTAGCCCACGCAGAAATGTCTGACAAAGAGAGCATCCTCCAAGTGGCTGCCCTGCAAATTTCCTCCAGAGGGGCCTTGTTACTAAATGCAGCTGAAGTGGTCACAGTCCTAGTGGAGTGAGCAATAATGCTACAGGGCAGACATGAACTTGAAGTCTGATAGCACAAACTGATCTTACCAGCTACCATGAGACGATTTAGAAAATCCCTTTTTCCCAAGGTGGAAGGACACAAACAAGGCATCTATCTGCCTAAGGGGTCTGGACCATTTGAGATGTTTGTCTTTCTTTATTTTTCTTTTTGTGCTCTTGTTACATCCAATTTATGTCAAGTCTTTTCAAGAGGCCTAAAGGGATGGGGATCTGTGAAAGGTGGAGTTTAGCTTTGGGACAAAGGATTCAGATGGAAGGCAACTGTGTCTATGAATACTACATGGTTTCTGTCAGGCTGATAATGCTCGTAGCTCATGGGTAACATGATATTCACAATTGTTACCCAATATTGTTACAAGATTGGGTAACAAGATTTCCATGTCAGAGGTTTCAAGTAAGTCTGTCAAAGTAGCTATGTTAAGGCTTTCAGGATGACATGGAGATCACGTTCGGCATTCTGGAGATGGTACTGAACAAGCAGGATTACTTGTCCTGCAGCACCCATTTTGGAACCTGCTTTAAACAAGGGAATCTGGCTTGCACATCTACCCATGGATTTTGCAATGTTTCTGTTTCTTCTGCTATACCACCACCAGCTCTGCAATGGCCAGGTGATAAAGACTCATGCCATGTCGAAAGCTAGCTTAAGCTTGTGATTTTTTGGTGGACTCAAAGGTCTTTGGATAGCATATGCTCTTGTCTTTGGATTGCATACAAAAACCACCCAACTTTCTTTTCCTTCTTAATACTAAATGTTTGGTGCCTGTTAGAAAGAGACAGGTAACGCACATGGTGCTAACAACTGGATTTTTTCCTAGCCTGGATACTTACAGTTTGCATCTTAGGAGCACAGGATCGGCTGATTGTATTAAGAAGTTTCTTCACTTTCCAGTAACTCTGTCCAGTCACCTTCATTAGTTCCAGAAGCGAGAGACATAAAACATCCTGAAACATAATCATTAAATAAAAATCTAGCTGAATTAAAAATGGGAAATGGCTGAACTAACTTCACATATTTAAAACCAAATTTTTTAAAAAATGTTTTTCTTCTGCACACACTCAAAATATGTGTTTCATGCTGTGGCCTCCACCCTCGTGCCCCTTGCTTGACCGTCAAGCCTCAGAGCACACAAAGGCAAACACTCTCTTCTTTTACACTTGTTGCTACCAGGTGATCTCTAAATCACTATTACTTCAGAAAGATTCAGGTCCACACTTCAAGTTCTTTTAAATAAAACTATGGTTTATTGATTACTTTAGTTTATTGATTACAGAGATTGATTCATGAATATCTTCAGTAGCTAATCACACCTCAGAATTTCCCAAACTACACACTCTGTTACTCTCTCTGACTCTTACTACATTTCTGTTCTGCCTGACTCTTACATTTCTCTTCCTTACTCAATCTACCCCTTGATTCTGACTCCGCCTCTCAGCAACATTAATATGCATGAACCATTATTTTACATAACAAACATAAACCATTACATAATATAACATGAACCATAGACCTAATAAATAAAGAACACTACACATGCACATTCTTATCTCTTAACATTTTAGGCCCCTATTAAATAAGCCTCACCTGACAAGTAGTGATCTGATGTCGACTTAGTCTCTCACAGAGATCCTGTGGTAAACCTGCTCTTCTCAGTTTCTTACTTGCCATGTTCAGATATTTAGTGGTCAGAAATTCACTCCTAGGACATAACAAATGCAAGATTATTTGAAATTCTACACTTAAGCATTACCACAAAAATTACCTCAAACAGAATTATTTAACTTGTGACAACTCTGAAACGGTTTATGCTGCACAAGTGTACACCTCAAGGCACGCGTCCTTTTTTTCATTTTGATCGATTCAGCTCCAGTCCCTTCCCAATACAAGTTAAAAAGCAGCAGGCAGGAATCTCTTTCTTAATGGTCCTTCACCTTAGCTTGTGTAATGATAAGCTGCACTGGGGTAGGGAGCCACACCCGTCTCTCTTGACTTCTGGACCAGCACATTCTAAGAAAGAACAGTCTACCAAAGTGTCCTGTTTAAGGTCATTGGGCATCTGCTAGTTCATTACACACAATGGTTTATAATGATTTAAAGGAGTTTAAAGTGTTAATGTTCCTGTGAAAAGGAGCTGTAATTCTGCTTGAAACACTCAAGAAATCGGAAGGATGAACCACTTGCTTGCAAGTACAGGCTCATGCACTTGCTTGTAAGTACAGGCTCGTGCTGTCAAGAAAAAATACTGGAGGATCACTGCTTAAGCCAGAAATATTTCTGGCTAAATTCATGTCTATCTACTGGGGAAATATCAGAACATTATACAATATTACTATTATTAGCCATGCTGACTACAGGATGCAGGAGTTGTACTCCAAAAAGTACTAAATTCTAATCCAGAATTCCTGTTGTTCAGTAATATGCTTGAAATCAAAGTGGTCCCTTTAATCCAAATTGTCTGAGGATGATGCAGGAATGCTACTGTGCACACAAACATTGGATTTCCACTTACATATTTGGTATTCACTTTTTTTATTCTATAATTTTATATTGGCTGGTGATGTTTTAAATTAAACTTACTGTTTTGTGACAGATGACTGTAAGCCACCTTGGGGCACAGTTGTTGCAAAATGCAAAGTTGGACCCCACATCATCCAAGTCTCAAAGGATGTTATTTTCCCTTTCACTTCTCTCTCCCTACCTGAATATTCTGTTCCCTTCCTAGAATGGAGATCATCCCTTTCATTGCCATTTGATGGGGCAAGGGGTGGGAGAGGAATTGAAGATGTTTTAGTTTTAAAGGAAGAGGAGGAAATAAAATAAGTTTTAAAATAACAGCTATTTCAATTTTGGGCAAAAAACCTGTTGTGCTCACGTGTTATACCGTATTTTATATCTAAAGTGGTACAAGTGATTCAGGGCTTGTGCATCACTTTTCACACTAAGTTCGCAGCCATCAACACATGTGGTGATAAGTGAAACCAATTCTTTACATGTACTTCTCTGTCCCATACTTCTCAAAATTCAACCAGATTAGGTGATTCTAGTATGAAGATACAGATAATTCTATACATTACTCTGTTTTCCTGAAAATAAGACATAACATGAAATAAGCCCTAGTATGATTTTACAGTATGATTTTACTCAATATAAGCCCTACCCCAAAACTAAGCCTAGCCCTAGTATGATTTTTCAGGATACTCAGTATAAGCCCTATCCCAAAACTAAGTCTCAGTTAAGTGAAACCCTGTCCTCCACCATTGTGCAGCAGCCAGAAGATGACATGGCTGTTTTTAAATAAATGTAGATTGTTGTACATGAAAAAAAATAAAACATCCCCTGAAAATAAGCCCTCATGCGTTTTTTGGAGCAGAAATTAATATAATTATTTTCAGGGAAACATGGTACTACTTCTCTCCTTGCTTTTTGTAAACAGGGACAGTCTCCAGTATTGTAACCCTTCCTGATGGGGGAATTATTCCAACGCTTTGATCACTTTGGCTAGAGTGGTCGTTTGACTAGACAGGCGGGGAATGAATGAATGAATGAATGAATATTCTCTGCAAAGGAAGGCGCCTGACAAGTGAGACAATTCTCTGCAAAGGAAGGCGCCTGACAAGTTAGACAATTCTTTCATCTAGCTCAGCATCATCCACACGGCCACTAAACTACAATCATATTGATGGTCAAAGCGGCAATTCTATAGACTCTTGCTCAAGAGCAAGTCCTATTAAACTTCCAGGGACCTTCCTTTATGTAGAAATGGGTAGGGCTGCAATGTAAGAGGCACCTGCACGCCTGGGTAACTGGATAAAAGTTTTAACTGTGAGTCTAAAGTTTTGGAACCCCTCTCTTGTCTCTAACTGGATGAAAAACGTACTTGAGAAAAGCGAAGGCAAACAGTGACGACCAGGCTCGAACACGCAACTTTTAAACAACAAACGTGTACACCGACCACTTCGCAACTTCACAATCGGTTTTCCTTCCAGAAGATGGAGACCAAACCCAGCCCAAGTCCCAAAAAGAAACCTGGAAGCAAAACATCCGCCAATACGAGCCTGGCTTTCCAACCCGCGCGGGCAACGCGGAAGGAAGGTCGAGGTCGAGCCAAGATCCCTTTAGCCAACGTACAGAGGAGAACCCGCGCCCATGAGGGAAAAGGACCCTGCTTTCCCACGTACCAAACACACCCAAACCGAACCTGGAAACTTTTCAAAGTCTCCCACTTCTCCGCAGGAGGCGGCAACGTCCGCCAAACAAGGTCCACTGCTGTGATTAGTGTCCCACTCAAGCACATCAACCAATCCTTCGAAGCAATCATTCGGAGGCGAAAGAAGGGCATTCTGGGAGTTGTAGTTTTGTCTTCCTATGGGTAAAAGGGCGCTGAAAAGGCGGGCATGCTTGCCAGTAAAGTTTTAGAGTCAGGTGTTAAACCGCGTGTTTCTGACAACAGATGTAATATGTGGGTCTGTTTTCAAGACATACTTTGATTTTTCTCAACCAATCCTTCGAAGCAATCATTCGGAGGCGAAAGAAGGGCATTCTGGGAGTTGTAGTTTTGTCTTCCTATGGGTAAAAGGGCGCTGAAAAGGCGGGCATGCTTGCCAGTAAAGTTTTAGAGTCAGGTGTTAAACCGCGTGTTTCTGACAACAGATGTAATATGTGGGTCTGTTTTCAAGACATACTTTGATTTTTCTGTTCCTTGTTGCAAACTTTATTATTATTATTATTATTATTATTATTATTATTATTATTGCCTAATCAGTTTGCAGTCGTTGTTCAAGCTTTACTGTTAATCGTTAATAACTATGGACAGAATAGCCTTAGCAAAGGTGGCCGTTTGGAAGCAAAACTCCAAAAAACCGATAACGCTGTGTAATAATATACAGTACATCATGGCTTAACAGGTGATACTGTTGTTTTCGATTCCAGCTGAGATTATGAAGACTACTGAAAATCAGATATGTATTGTAGCTGTATTCAGACCTGGTGGAATAACTTGAGAAATACACATTTCTTTAACAAATAGGTATCTTTATCAGAATTGTGTACAGTATACTGAATTCAAAATTCTGGTCAGTGTACTCTATTATTAATTCGTCCATATGTGTATATTTGCCATAATGAGAGCCAACGGAACACTTCCTTTATTGATTTCCACCAATGTCAAAATCCTCATAGATTTCTGGTGAAATTTTTTTAAAAAAAAACATCAGTCAACTGACTTGGTTAATCATTCATTCACTTTATCAGATTTATAGCCTGCCTTTCTCCTGGAAATTAGACTTGAATAGCATAGGATCAAAAAGCCCAAGCAAAACACAATAAAAGATCAAATATCAAACAGAATTAAAGTAAATGCATGACTAAAAATAGAAACATATTTAGAAAATAAAAGCGCTAAAGCGCTCAATGGGTTACAGGCTTATGCCCCAGCAACTGGTTCATTGCTTAAAGCCTGCCAGAACTAACAAGTCTTCAGATTACATAACTGTGAGTCTTACTTGTTCTCTTAGGTGCATTGACCTTAGAAAGAGTTAATCTAATTTGTGGTTTTATCTTTTTTTAGTTGGCCTAATGAAAATATCAACACAAGATGAATTTGGGAATTTGTCTTATGGCCAATTAGGAGAGATGTGGTGGCGCTGTGGGCTAAACCGCAGAAGCCTGTGCTGCAGGGTCAGAAGACTAGCAGTCGTAAGATTGAATCCACGCAACAGAGTGAGCTCCTGTCGCATTGTCCCAGCTCCTCGCCAACCTAGCAGTTCGAAAGCATGTAAATACAAGTAGATAAATAGGTACCACCTCGGTGGGGAAGGTAAAACGGCGTTCCCTAGTCACGCTGGCCACATGACAACGGAAACTGTCTTTGGACAAATGCTGGCTCTACGGCTTGAAAAACGGGATGAGCACCGTCCCCTAGAGTCGGACACGACCGGACTAAAAATGTCAAGGGGAACCTTTACCTTTACCTTATGGCCAATTGGCTTCTCCTTCATTTCCTGTAAAACACCCTTGTGTGCCTAGCACCACAGGTGAGAAGGGGTTGGTACAGGCAGGGTTAAGACAGATTAGCAATAATTAAATCTAAGTACCTCTTTGTGCCTAACAAAGAAGAGTAACTACCAGAAAAGGAAACTACAGTACCTTTTACTGCATACGGTGGTGAAAAGTAGCGGGCTATTGGAAGAAAGACTGGCTTTTCCATTACTCAGCTGCCAGGCCCCAGCTGGCTAGTAAAATATTTTGCAGGCTATTAATTTTGAAGGATTTACAAGGATGCTTTAAGAGCACAATAACCCATAAGACATATTTCATTGAGAATGACATCATCTGCAGCTCTAGCAATTAAATATGTTTGACTGAATGCAAGTGCTTTGGATGCCAAATTAAATTTGTTGGTGGCAAGGAGATAACAAGGTTTCAATCCTAGACTGGATTACTGTAGACTTAATTTGAAAGCTAACCTTTTGTAGAAGAAAAAAATCTCTTGAATATAAAAAACACCTTAGAATTATTCCATTGATGCCTTCTTAAAACCATCCCATTGGCTCTATGTTCCTGGGCCTAATTAAAGTAGGGGTTAGGTCCAGGTTTTCTGAAGGACTACCGGTATATCACCCAGGTGAGCCTCCTTGGTTTTTAAGATCTGGAAGCCCATCTCAGTCCCACCACAGACTCATTTGGTGAGGAAGTCGGAGGGCCTTCTCAGTGGCTGCTCCCAGGCATTGGAATGCTCTGCTCTGAGAAGCTAGGTGCCCCCCCTTCCTGTCCTTCCATCATCAGTTAAAGACCTACCTTTCTACTTGGTCTTTTAAGCAATAGTAGTGGTGGTGGTGGTGGGAGGAATGCTACAGCTATTTTTTTAAATGTTCTTAAAATATTTTTATAATTGTTTTAAATTGGGATTTAAAAATATTGTTAATGTTTAGTTGTTTTTGAGTGTGTTCCCTATAGTGTTTTTAATAGTGATTGTTATTGTGGTTTCAGTTGACTATAAGCCACTTTGAGTACACTATGATAAGAAAGGCACCATATAAATGCAGCAGGCAAATAAATAAATAATCCCAAATTTAGTAAGACCAAGACCAAAACATTTAAATGTGTGTATGCCATGTGCTGTCAAGTCATTTACAGCTTCTGGCGATGCTACAAATTAGTGTCTTCCAAAATGTATTTTTAACAAATGTGCCCAGGTCTTTCAGATTATGGATTTGTGGATATCCTTTATTGAGAGAATCCATCTCATATTACATGTTCTACTACTACTACATACTACCACCTGCACTTTTCCTAACATAAATGTGTTTCCCAGTGCCTCTTGTCTTCTCATGATATGTGCTAAGTACAATACTGTACAGTGCACTTATTCATTTTAGTCTCCAGTGAGAATTCAGGCTTGATTTGATGTAGAACCCACTTATTTCTCTCTTTGGTAGTCCATAGTATCTGTAAAAATCTTCTTTGATGTTACATTTCATGCATTTTTTTCTATCAGCCTTCTTCAATGTTCAGGTTTAACATCTGTACCTAGTAAAAACACCACAATCTGAGTGGTGTAGACTTTTGTCTCTAGCTACATGACAGCATGAAACCTAGGTTTGGTCATTTGTATGTACTATATCACTTGTTTGCGCACTCACATCTTTCTTTCTTTCTTTCTTTCTTTCTTTCTTTCTTTCTCACATATACAGAATAAATGTATATGTCTGACATATACATTCTGTTGAGTTACACCAAGTCCTGGCAGCTACAATAAGAAAAATACAATAAGAAAAGATATTAAAAAATATCTCCTGCATCCTGTGGTTCACTTTCAAATTTGTCTGGTTTCTGCTTCAAAAGTACTACATTATTAGTTGGCACGACAATGCTCCCATTCAATTTCAAATTTGTTCATTTTCAAAATGGACTGGTTTCTTATTTCACCAACTCCTTGCTAGTGTAATAATATTCATAGCACTGGGAAGCTTTGTATCACAAAATGAGGTTGACATTGCTGATCTGCATTTGGTTAGTAATCAGAGTGGAAATATGTGTATACAGTACCATGTTTCCCCAAAAATAAGACAGGGTCTTATATTAATAGTAATGGAGTCTTTTGGTGATAACTGTTACTCAACATTTGCAGTCCACAAAATGCAGATCATACTACAGTACTTGTTTATCACTGTAATTAAATATATTTATTATTATGCTTTTGATTTCTGCATGAGTAGTTACAGAGATTAACCCAAGTGGAATACAAATAGGGTATCTATTTATAAGAACCTATGATCTAGACAGGCTCTATTTTGGCATGAAAATATTTAAGTAGCAGTGCCTCTGTTCCCAAAAGCACATTTAGCTTTTTTTTTTAATAGTGAAGTTATAAAAACAGCTGCAGAGATCGTGATGGAATGGATTTTGAAACTAGCAAATATAGAATTAATAGGACAGGGAATCCACTGCAAGACACTGAGTACTTGGCAGAAGAACAGTTCCCAAGGTATGTGGAAAAATGGGAAAGAATTGGGGCAGTCCATCAAGAAATCATGTCAAATTTGCAGAAAACCAGAAATACAAAAAGGCAGCCTCAACTAGGGGAACATCAGAAAGGGAGATGTGATAGAGAAGGAGCTCCTCCTAGTGTGAGCCTAATTATAACAATGGATTTGAAGCAAAAAAAAAATCAATCAAAGTTTGGGTAAAGGATAGGGATACGTGTGCAAGTTAACTTGCTATCAATTTGTAACATTATTATTTGGCACTAAATCTCTATATCAGATAACCACACTAGCCAAATGGACAAGAGAACACACAGTGGTGGCTCAGTGGGTTTGGTACTGTAGCTGGAAAGCTCACAGATTCTTCAGGGTCTGTCAGTTCAAATACCTGCTGTGTAACTGTGGAACAGGTGGCACAGCTGGTTATGACAGATACAGAAACTGAGAGTTAAGTATTGTGTGAATGTGAAAACACAAGTCATGGGCCAGGGCGTGGACTCACCTCCCT